TTTTGACCCAGTCAGCTTAATATTTTTCTACCACATAATTATGTACCTTTATAGGGTAAGATATTGAAAAATATATGGGTTTTCCATTTTTATACATTGATAGTATCAAACATTCTTCAGGACGAATATTGTATCTTTCATCAGGGTAGAGATTTTTATGGAATAATATCCAATAGTAGAAGCATCGCTGTAGGTTTTCCACTAAGTCTGTAATCAGTTTAGTAGGTATAGATGTAGGTTAAATGGAGTATTAAACACTATAGACTGTAATTTAGGTAATTTTGTACAAGTTTTTAATTATATGTCAAACAGTTCACCATGTTTAATAGGTTGGTAATAAAAATATTTCAGTCTTGTAGTTTGGTCCAAAAATGACATTTTTATTAATTTACATTGTCAGTTCAGAATATTGTGAGTTTCCTGTTTGATTCTGTAAAAAAACTTAACTTGCAAGGACATGATTCAATTATTTTAAACTGTGATGAATTTAGTTATGGAAGACTAGATTTCTAAAAGGTTGGTCAAACCATGTTTAAAATCTTGGGTAGATAAATTGACCTTTCTATTTTTACCGTGGCGTAGACTATTATTCCGAGTGTTGTTTAACCTGGGGTGGAGTAAGAGAGAGTCTTACTATATCGACTGTGTGGTGAACTGTAATATCAGGGTGTATATCTTTTAAAATTAATCTTTTTGGTGTTACCTTATTAAATTAGTTTTTAATTTGTTTAAAACTGTTATCTTAGACAAAATATTTTTTCCTACAGTCACCCGACAAAGTTGACTTCCTTGTACTGTTTATAGTACAGAAAGCTGCTAATTGCTGCATATTTATACTTTGCTGTACGGTTTATACTTTGTCGTACGGTTTATACTTTGCCACACATCAGGATTCCAACGAAACAACACAAAACAGCGTGGTTCTATTATGCACGTAATCCGTGTACGCTTGGAAATAGGTTGGCAACACTTAAAGATAATAATACTATGAGCAGCTGATTGACTATCATAAATACGATTTAACCTGTCATTTCGTGTTTATAGTTTCGGTATTTGTGAACTTTCTGTACTTTTCTTTTAAACGTTTTTAAAACGCTCCTACGATCTTAATAAACAAGAAAATACCTTTAAAGCATTTTTTTTAGGCGCGGAAACCAGTCCAAATTACAAAAACATACGGAACTATATTCTCCAAACGCGGAGCACATTTCTTGCTGAGGAAAAATAGCGGAGTGATACGGACCGCGAGTACTACTTTCTCTAGGGCACCATTTGTGTTGCCAGCTGAACCTAAAAACGTGTTGTATAGTGTTTGAAAGACTAATTATTTATATGTGTAACACGAGTGCAAAAGGCCGTTGCTGCACTCGAGATCATTCCGCGTGCAGCAAAGTGCCACTTATTTGCCGACTAGTTACACAAATAACTATATCATTAAGATTATTTAAAGAACTGGGTTATATTAAATTTTATTGTTGTATTTTTGTTGTTTAATTTTTACAATCCCTTAGGTCCCTTGTATTTTAGTACAGAACATTATACCCACAAGTAGACTTTCCATCCCATTGTAAATTTTGAAGCTTGTTTTTCATGTCTGGTGACCATGATCACTAGTGTCGACTTAAATTATTTTATGGTTAATTTTATGATTTGTGCTTTACTGTTTGGTTATATAACTAGGGGAAGAGTTATTGTTTTTTATTAGATATTTTTGTTTTGCTAAACGAGGTTTTAAATGTCTGAAATAACAGGAAACAAATTGTAAACAAAACACAACCTCTACAGTGCACTGGAACAATAAAACTCCCTTCAGCTGGTCCATAAGGATGATAAATCTACTAAGGGAGTATGTATGATTTTGCAGAGTTGGGGAATAAAATTTGTCACATCACTTTGCACATTTATACCCCGTATTATTTGGTAGTGGGTGGTCGACTTCTTATTAACAGTACTGAAAGAGACCAGTGGATAGTGAGTGAGTGAGTTGCTTATTAGCCAATTTCCCATGTTGGGAATAATTAAAAAACAACTCTAAGCTGGCTATAAACTGATAGCTAGTGTCACCCGACATGAACTAGAATTTACAATGGGTTGAGTACTTGTGTTGGTTAATCTATAGCAAAACCTTCTCCCTGCCTTTTTCAGGTTTAAAAGCACATAAGGTGGCAGAGAAATAAAACATTGGTTTTGTCCATCAAATTTGCAAGCTCTCAGTAAAACGTAAAATACTATAATGAAATTTACGAAATGTAAATAAAACATTTGATTTCAAAATAAGTCAAAACTAGAGGACCCATGCTGCTCCGCAGCGTTAAAATAAATATCATATCCGAGAAATAATCAAACTTATGATATCTTGAGCATAACTGATTCAAACGGTCAGTAGCCCAAATTAAAGCATATAATTTACTGATTATTTTGAGTCTAAAACATATAAAAAACATAAACAATACTGGAGAGATTGATTTTTAATCATAGAAAAACCTTATCAAAAATATTTTTTATGTTTGGTTGTTCACCTTCCGTTTCTTGAAAATCGTCCGATTTGAATAACTAATAGCTTAAATGAAAGCCGGGATTTCACTTAAGGTTCTTAGACCAAAATATATAGGATTATATAATTATAAAATAGAGAAGTCTGTAGGCCTACATTATATTTTTTTGGTTTGAGTTTTCGACCACTGGCCGACCTCTAGTCTCTGCATGTATTATAGGCAAGCATGTTTCTTATAAACATTTTTTCTCAGCTTGTGTGAAACCTAGGTAAAATCCACACATATTGTTAGAAAGATATTTTCCTGTAGATGTGCAGCATCCCTTTAAAAATTGAAATAGACTTAAATATAAGCACAAAAAAATTAATTTGAAATTTTAAAAAATTTACATGGGCTTTATGGGTTGCCATGATGGTTACGAAATATAAACAGAAAATCAAAACAAATATGAATTTACAATCTCATGTTTTATTTACAGCATGTGACAGAGTGAAGGATTTGGGCATCATTATTATTACGCCTGATCTTAGCCCGTTTCAGCACAGTAGTGCCAACTCGTTCTCACGATTCATATACAGATGCACATGGAATTGGAATTCTCCAAGGAATTAGTAATTGGAAGTCTCCAATTACACAAGAGTGATCCTGTCTGTACTAGTAGTTGGTTCGTCCCATCTTGGAGTATGGGTCTGTTATATGGTCTCCATATCAAATTGGGCACGCCACATCCAGATACTGGCAAGAACACAAGATTGTTTCATTAGGATGTTTTTGGTCCTAGGCTAGAGGTGGGCTAAAAGGGTACTTTCCTGTACCCGGGTACGGTACAACAGTTACAGGTACTCTAAAGTACCAGTTACAAGTACCCGTTACAAAAGTACCCGGTTACAGAAGTACTCTAGTCCAGTGTAGGTAGGTAGAGTATCTACTTGACATTTTGGATTCATACCATGAAATCGGTACTGATACCTAGGCTTGGCTTCAGATACCAGGACACCTATCCGTGAGCTAGAGGTGCAGCTTCCTTCATATTCAACCATTACATATACGACGTAAGATCTTTGATGCTGTTTTCCTCAAACTGCTGATCAATGCCCTTATTGACTGCCCTGAACTTCTCCACAATAGGCGCAATATCAATCTTGTTGTGCCCAGAGGAACACGCTCCAGAACTCCTCTCCAGCGACACTATCAGCCAACACTTTTTGCATACTACAGTGGCCTGTGCAGATTGAGATTGCAGCGAACAGGAAGTCAGATTGGTGCGCTGATTGACCTTTTTCTGGTTCAACATCTTCTTTCAAAAGGAGGGTCGGTGTGGTGCTAAAGTGAGGGTTTGTGAAAGTTTTCATTTCATGGTTCCATTAATGGGCTACAAAAAGTTAATTAATATGAATTTCTTATTGGTTAGTTGTTATTGTTTTTGCTCAGCATTTAAATTTGTTGTTTGTTATGTTATAACATCATTATTGCTATTGCTGTTATTTTTTTTGTTGGTTGTTATTTCACATATTTTTTTCTCTCTTTTCAACATTTAAAGCTCCTATTGTCTTGTTTTAAAACAGTCATAAGTTTTGCAAAAGTTTTGTAATATATAAGATTATTTATTTATTTATCTATTTATTCTTTCAACGGTAACACCATTTTTACATTGGAATTTTGGAATATACATTAAATTGGATTAAATCACTTTATAAACATAGCATAATTATACATTTACCCATGTCATATATATATATATATATATCTATTCTAAAATGGTGTAACCGTTGGGAGAAAAATACATTTTTAATCTATGGTTCGATGTCTGAAATCTTGCCGACGGATCGTTGTATCAAAGAAATTATTCGATGATCAAGCAATAAACACCTCTAAGCCTTAACATTAGTACTGGGGCCCATTTCATAATAAAGTACAAACTAATATTATTAGTAAATCAGCTGATCGCCCAATGCAAATCTAATGGAAATTACAAGTTACAAGTTGTAACTTGTAGCTTGTAGTTTATTATGAAATGGGCCCCTGGTAGGAAATTTAATACTGTCATATACACTGTTCTTATATACCAGTACAGCTACATGAGAAAGAATTTAAAACTTTCTCCTGTTTATGTACATGGTGGAAGGAAAAAACATAGGTGTGCTATTCCCACATATTCTGACGTCACTCGGATTGCAAACAAAAGATCACCTGATTGTAACTGTCAAATTCGTATATGTATTTGTTTTGATTTGGTTGTTATTGTTTTTATTATTATAAAAACAATAACAATCCAATCAAAACAAATACATACTAATTTGACAGTTACAATCAGGTGATCTTTTGTTTGCAATCCGAGTGACGTCAGAATATGTGGGAATAGCGTAGGACACGTCTCGGGACTCGGGAGGGAATTTTCAGTTCCAGCTCCAGTATTGCAGTAGTGGAGTAGTGCGGTTGGTACAACTGAGTGCAGGACACTGACTTTACGTTCCGTCCAGGCCCATCTGTTTGGAGTTGGAGCTGTCACAACACAACAACAGTCTGTTGGTTTTCCAGTTTGTTTGTGTTTATGTGTTTGTGTATGTTGTTACTTTATAAAATAACTTCTTTAAATTAAGTGTTCAAAGTGTTTTAGAACTTAAATAAGTGAATTTGTGCGAGCTATTTATGTAAAAACGCTATGGGGTTCACTAACCTTAATATTCAACTGTTACAGGATGTGTGTAAACTTTCTTTCATTGGGAATGTTTGCTCCGGTTAAATTATTGTATTTTTACGCAACTAATCTAAAAATCAACGCGGCTTCTATTCCTTAAGATGACGACTAATTTTTTATAAAAGGCATTTTTGTGATCTTAACCTCAAAAAGCAAGTATAGAAAGTGTAGGCCTAGCTTTGTTGCTAGTAAGGTTGTGAAACAGAGTTGTGAATGGGAAACCACAGTGTTTGCATTCCTGTGTGTTGTGTTGGAGGATTAGGCCCTACCTAGTATTGGATTACTTACAGGAAACATGCTGAAGGAAAAATGAACCTCGATGTATCATCAGATAGCCTGGTAAGTCTTTATGAGATAAGTTAAGTTAAAGCTAACTTAGGCTGGGGTTTTTTTTTAAGGATTTATGTAGAATGTTTCTGCAACCCATCAAACTGTACTCCATTAATGTAATTGGGTACAGCATATTATACATTAACTTAAGTTAGTTCACTTGATATTCCAGCAGATCATTAAAAAGAAAGGCTTTTGCAAAAATCTTTGCCAGCTTAAATTTGTTTGCGCAAACTGATGTAAGTTTTTTTGATCATTTGTACAACAATGTATCCTTTCAGTGTCCATGCCAGTGGCGTTTTGAATTACAGTAAAACAAAACATTTAACTGAGAGCCTAAATAAAATGCTCGGTTTTGTATATTGTTTTTCATTGTAGGTAGGTGGTAGGTTTACACCTATAATGTTGATTGATTTTAAGTAGATTAATTGTTTAGAGACGAAACTGTGGAGTTTATAAACTTAGGCTACTTATTGCTCCAGTGGATTGAAGATCCCAACCTACACATTTTATGTCATTTATAACACTGAAAAAAAAACATTAACTTAATGGCTTTTTTTATGAACTTTGATGTTACTCTTTGAAATCAAACATCTCGCTAAGATAGCAGTTTTCCATACTTATGTATCATTAACTTAACTTCACAAAAAAATATCCAGTCACTTAATGTTTGTGAGCTCGGAGAAAACTTTGCACTCTTACTTTAGAAAAAAATCTAGTTTCGGGTGATACCTATATTTAAATTAATGTAACTTAGATATGTTCCCATGGTCACGTTATTGTAAATAATTACTAAAATAGGCTATGTTTAAATTGAAAAATAGTTGCTACGAATTATAAGTAGTACCAACTAGGTACGGTATGTGTAAATTATGTAAGTTACTCACAAAAAACAGTTACCTACTCAAGTTTCATTGTTTTCAATGTACGGAACTATAGAGTTACTAAATACCTAGTTTTAAAATCTACAATAAAAATTATCTAAATTAGCCTTTTACCCATTTAAGTAAAGATTTTTTTTAAACTGACCTCAAAAATTACATTCCAATTTCTAGGCTGTTTGTGTTCAGTGAGAATGTTTTAAATTTTGATAACTTCTTTTTATGATTGTTTGCTTTTTTAAAATTAGGCTATGTAATTATAGCCCACACATTTTTATGAAGAAAAGTAGGTACTCACACACCCACAGTATTGTTTTTATCGGATAAGTTTAGGCCTAATTATTCATTCCCCAATCTGGACCTTTCATTGAACCTTCAGTGCATTAAATTATATGCTTGGCCCAATACTGACCTTTTTATCATAAGAATTAATCTAACTTTGATTTGTTAACACGCCTATGAGTCATTCTTTTATCTGTTGAAAATATGATGTTGGGTAAGACTGTAGGTTCAGACTATACAAGTATTTTCTCTAGCGTACCATTTTTCTTGTTTTTGAGCTGTTGGTAAGGGTCTACTCATGTTTAAAATAGGAACCCTGCAGATGGTAAGTGAGTATTTGCGCCTCATATTTTTATTTAAGGTAGGGAAGACTATTGAAGTTGTATTTTTGATGGGGTTGACATGTAGAATTGCTGTAGCCTATATTACAATCAAGGAAGCAGTTAATTCAACCTTAGTTTTGTTGTGAAGCTAAAAAATATCTAAAACTACTCATGTCGCATCTAATTTAGTTACAATCTCTTAGGTTCTATTTAATTCAGTACCGTACTTACAACTTTCTTCATACATTTAGTATAAAATGTTTCTGAAAAAATTATTTTTCCCGTAGAAAATACACAGTAAAAAACATTAATACCCCCAAACCCCACCGCAGCAGACCTGCAAACTAAGCAAATTTGTATTTGCCTGATTTGATTTTCATTTGAATCTAGATTTAGTAACAGGTTTAATGAATACCTGTTTGCTTCTACAAAAAGGGCAATAAAGTGTGTTTTTTAGTAGAATATTATTAGCTGATTGTAAAATAAATAAATTTGCCAAGTTTGTTTAAAAAATATATCCACAAGCAAACCACAACTCCGTTTACTTATTGAACAATAACATCGGAAATTTAAGTTTACAATTTTCTAAAAAAATTTAGTAACCAATAGCCCTAACCCTAACCGTACAGAAACACTTCACCATATCAAATTACAGTATTAGGTAGTTTTTTAAGCTCTTGAAAATGGCTTAAAAGAGAGAAATTGGGAAATTGTATGTTTTAAGGAGAAACAAATGAGAAAACCCTATTTTTACGCCACATATCCCTCATATAACTCCGTTCTTTTGGTCTGATGATGCTGGTTTGCGAATTTGTCAGAATAAACGTAAGTTTACAAGTTTGTACCAAATTTCATCGAAAACACAGATTTTTGTGTTTCAACGCCATTGAATATTTCAGTGAATTTCCCATAGGGAATAATAAACTATTACCGTAGGTCTCATGGTAAGACCTGGACCCGGGACTGATTTACTTTTTCATTTTGATGTCTCCTCCAGAGGCCAAAAACACCCTCCGTTCAAATAAATTTATATATATATATATATATATATAGGCCTACTGTATATATCATAGACTAAGTAGGCTATGTTTTATCTATGCCTATCCTACAGTATATGGGTCCGTTAGCATCATAACTCGAGCGAAAATTATCCGATTTCGATAAAATTTTGTACAAACGTGTAAACCTAAATGTATTCAAACAAGTTCGCGAACCAGCGTGATGGGACCATTGGAACGGGAAATATTGGGGGTTTATTGCGTAAAAATTGGTTTCTCTCATTTTTGACCCTCAAAACAAAAATTTTCCCAATGTATCTCTAAACCATTTTGAAGTGCTTAACAATTTTTTTTATATTGAAGTGTACTTTTGTACGGTTATTGGTCACAGAGAAAATTCAAATAATATTGTAAACGTAAAATTCTCATATTATTCTTAGGCTTTATAACATTTAAGAACAGTTTCCATAACTATTTATTTTCGGATAAATATAAATACGAATCGTTATTTTCAGCTTATATTAACAACTCGGGCAAATGGAAATTCGCTTAGTATGCAGGTTTGCTATGGCGAGGATATTTAATATTTTGTAAGTACACGGTCCAAACCCCGGACTTATTACGTGTGTACACAAGGCTCTGTTCGGTTCGTTTCCGCATATGTACCAACCGTCGTTGAAACGCCGGAGAAGCGGCAAAGCAGCGGGACTTGAGAGTGCGTGACATACGTGTGGGAATGCGTGTGAATACGCTACACGCCACACGCCATCAACCACCAACACCCGCGGAACATACGTAGACTCCTTCATACGCAGTAGTATACTGAGCAAACCTGCAAAACATAATAACAATCCCGCCGCAGAAAACCTGAGCAGATGAAGTGAATTACCTTAGGCCTACCTGATTGGATTTTCAATTAAAGCTGTTTAAATAACACTAATATTTAACAAGTAACCGTTGTTTGCTGTTGTAGAGAGGGTGATAACGTTTTTTTGAAAATTTTAATAACTTAGTATAAGGTAAATAAATTCGCCAAGTTCGAAATAAAAGCATAAACATGTACAGTAAACACAACAGATTGCCTACATTATTCTCCACAAAAATAACGTGGGAATTTTTAAATTTAAAATGTTTTTAATTTTATCCACGTAATTAATGACTAAAAACTCTTCAATATACTAAATCCATTTTTTAAGTTCTTCTAAATGGTTATTCTTTTGTGTCTTATTAATACGACAAGCGCACTCTACGCTACCAATATGTAACACACAAACTTCAGATTTCAATAGGATGAGAAGTCAAGTCTGCTTTACGGCGTTTGGCGTCAATATCAATTCATTCATGTCTTTTGTCTTTTGAAATATTTAAACTGATTAGGTTCATTCATTTTAGCGAATTTCCCATATAGATATCTCAAAATGAAAAATTAAATCGGTCCCGGGTCCAGGTCTTACGATGAGTACTATTTCCGTAGGTTCATTCGTTTTGTGTAATTTTAACAGTCGAGCACCTTTTAATAGTTTTTTTCTAAGATAGGAAAAAGTTAGTAAAAGTGTATTTTTTAGCTACCACTTCAATAATGCGCGAAATAGTCTTTACATCAGTTGACCCCAAAACCTCTGCCTAAGATTTTAAAACGTACATTCTTCACGCCTTTTCGCTCAAGTCTCTACCCGCAGATACAGCGCAGGTCAAATGTCGCCTCTGTCCTGTATCCTGCCACGTCCCCAGCGTCGGAAGGTCAGCCCAGACCCGGGACTCTGTCTCAAGGACGTCCAAGTTGTAGAAATCCCCGCACCGGCGCCGCGCCAACAACACTTTCTCTGCCTCTCTACCACGTCCTGACGTCATTGTCACCGACTTTCAATCGATCATTGTGTAGAATTTCTTAGTGAAACCACAAGAAGGATTAAACACTCTACGTGTAGGATTAGAGGTACTTTATGGTGAAACCAAGTCGACCTCCTGTGATGGTATCGGTGGCCTTCCGTTTGAAGTAATTGGAAGTTTGAAGGATGTACTTTATAGAATAAAATTTTATTTTGCCACACACATGGTTTAAGTAGTAGACGGGGTGTTTTTGTCCGACGCAACGTATCTTTTTTATAATTTTTTTCTTATTAATGACTTTTCATATTGTTTGGGGGAACTGTAATGTTTGTTCTGAATTTTATTTGGTACATTATAAAATTTACAGATTCAAGGGTCCTTTTCGCGATACAGGAACATTATAGCAAACTGGTGATCGTTCTGTAAAACAGGGAAACCGAATCACAGTAAGATACCAACATTTTTGAATAATCAAACCCCCGACATTAACTGTAGAAGTTAATGTAATAGGGATTGGGTGGGGGAAGGTTTAAATACTTATTGGTTAGCTCATAGCCCTAATGGTGCAGTGGAACCTTAATAACTAACTATCGTGGGGATATCTAAATAATTGTTTTCAATGACTTCTTACTGAGGTTTGCAATAACATGGGATTGGGGGTAAATTCAATGAGATTTTAAAATCTTGTGATCGAG